TAGGGAGGTCAGAGCTCTCTCCAATTAGCGATGATATCGGTTCCGGTATTTGCCCCCGGGGTAGAGAAAGAGAGACGGGCAGAGTTCACGGAGGTTATGGAAGGTGGGCGTGCAGAGCTAGAGGCACTCACCTGCACGAAAAAAAAACGTCAGCTGCTGTAGCTGTAATGTTAGCTGTCCTGGAACTAGCTAAATTTTAAGATGCCAAAGCTAAACTTTCGCTGTGCGAGTCAAACGTGAGATGCTAAAACTGATGGCTTCCGGGTAACAGCTTGCCCTTCATCATGATCTGGTTCGGATGACTCATTTAGCTCTCTCAACTCATGGGTGGCTACCGCAGCAAATGTTCAACCGTGAAAGCTTAAAAAGTTCGTGATGGTTAGTACCTGGGTAGCAAACATCGCAGCTAATCGGTAGCTTGTGGAAGTTCTACGGGTTTTTTTCCGTGTATTTACGACGTCTGTTCCGAAGCGTTCGTATGGTTGGTGTATATCGAATTTTCAGAATGATTCCAGGTACCCGTGGAACAGCGTATGTGCTTTGATAACACAGAACAAACAAGCGTATAAATATTCGCGTAACGCCGTGCAGCAGGGAAACAAGTGAAGCAGCAGGGACAATAGGGGCCGGAGTACACTTTGTACACATCACCCTCCACGACGTCGTCGTCGTCCTTTCAGCTCTGCTAAAACTCCAAGTAGCGTCGTCGGCATGAGTCGGCAGGGCAGGGCGGTGGTGTCACCCCCACGCACAACATCAATCAAGTGATCTTGGCCGCGCCCATCGAGTGACCCTGTGACGTGTCCGCAGACGCGGGGAGACGAGCAGCGCGCCGGCACCCTGGGCGCGTTCCAGCTCGTGCTGCACGGCACGGCCGACCGGCCCGCCTACATGGAGGCCGGACCGCGGCAGTACGACCCCGACTACAACCGAGTCTCCAGGAAGGTCAGTGTCGTGTGTTCTGTTTATTGCGGCATGCTATTAATAGGGTAAAGGTAGGCACACCGATTGAAAAACAGCATGCTGAAATGTTCTTCCCTTGACCCCTTTTCATTAGTTGTATTGTTATTGTTGTAAGCTTCAAAAGGGGGTTAAAATAAGAACATTTTTCTTACAATTTGTTCTCGAATTAAGAACACACAGGTTGTTTTTGGTGCAATATGCTTGTCCGGGCACACTGTTCAATCAGCGTGCTGTGACCTTTGACAAGCACATTGTTAAAAATGGTGAACTTGCAGGTTGTGCCAAGCACACTGCTCTGCTCTGGATTTTCAAGTGTGCTCCACGCCCTTTGCAGACGGAGCTGGAGGCGGACGACCGGTGGCTGCAGCACGACCTGGAGGGCGGCGGCGAGGAGCGCGCGGCACGTTAAGCAAGCACCCTTATTCGTGCGCTGGTCTGGCCGTGCCCCGCCGCCCGCCCGCTCCCTTTGACGGCCGCACCAGCGTAAAAGCCATCTTACTTATTCCGCCTCGTGGGCGGCGGGCGACCTGGGAGGCACTTCGCTTCAGCCCGCAGAGTCAATCGCAGGCCGTCACCGGCAGAAGTTGCGCCCGGATCTCCGTTCGTCATGATACGTCACTAGTCAACTCCACTACCCACCTAGTTGGGAACTACACAGACCGAATTATATATGTTTATCGACTTACTTCTTTATACTGCAGTAATTCTTACAAATTTTGTAAGTAATTCGGAGAATTTAATTTGCCACTTAAAAAATTATCAATGGTATTTTAAATTTACTAAGAGAAAAATTGCAGTAACTTCGATACCTGTCATTGTAACTCACAATTTTTTTGATTAGTTACTGCTTAACAAAGAAGTTTTTCGTATTTGGAAAAATGTCAGTAGTGGACTGAGAGTGTTCTTCGGTGTGGTCTTTTGTCGGCGTAAATCCGACGTCGAGTCCGCGTCATTCATCCAAGTGGACTCAACGTCGATTCTACGTAGATTTACCCGTGAGGCAGTCCCACGTCCCACCATCGCCGATGTGCAATATGAAATATCAAATAAACCGAACCGGTACATTTTATTCGAAGCAAAAGCAGAACAAAAACCGTTATCCATACTATTTTTTCCCCTCCTGGTACCCATTATTTCTGTCCTCGTCCTTGCTAGCGCAGCAGTGTGGTGCGAAGCGTGCCTGGGATGGTGTGTGTGGAGGGGCTCGTCGTCCTCATTAACGGTCCCGGGTGCTGGCGCCTCTCTCCCGCACCACCTGCCCGAGGTGCGCGCGGTCCGGGCGCCACGGCCACGGCGCGCCCTGTCGCGGTGGCGGCGCGGTGGCGGCGCGGGGATCTGGTTACCTTACTTCTTGGAGAGCGCGCGCGCCCGGACGAGGAGCAGGATCCGCGTTCGGCGAACAAAACCGGAGCCCAACAGGCGGCTGGAGGAAGAAGAGGACGCCAAAAAGGAGTGGATCCTGAACAACAAGTTCGTTTGTTGCTTTTGCTACTTTCGTATAACGCTGGTTATTTTGTATTTTTCTTATAGAGCCACACCAAGTAAAAAACACTCCTCGAAATGAATTAATTGTTCTCGTACTGAGAAAAATTTGCATCAGGTAATCGAATAAAAACGATTTGCATTCTCAAGATTCCTAAGAATACTTACTAATCGTGAAGAAAAAGATAAGTTCGTTCTATTCAGTCACAATTTTTGCACCACGAACGCAAATTAGTTTTCTTTCAAGGAATTAGCAGAAGTTAATTATTGTACTTCACTTGGATCGAGAAAAGTTTTCTTTTTCGGGTGCAGTGCAGGAACTCAAGGATTCTCCTAAGTAGCTTATGTTATCGCTTTTAATTTGCGAGGCCGAGGCTGAGCTCGTGGGAAACCGAAACTTGTTAAAAAATGCAGTTAGTGTCGCCAGCGAGAAAGCGAACCACGTGACCTGCTGTGCTATCCTACGGCAGAGATGCCTCTCTGCAAAAACGCATCAATGATTCAGAGTTGTCGCTCTCCAGCTGCTACGTGAGCTTGCTGGGGGAGATAAAATAAAAAACGATACAAAACCGTTTGAATTGGAGCGCACGCAGCGTTGCCGCGACGGCTGCGCTGCGAGATGAAGAAAAGGAAAGACGACGACGACGACGACGAAAAAAATAATTGATCACCCCTCCGCACTCCACCTTTTGACTCTGTTGGCGACCATCGGCCTTGTGGCGGAGAGTCTTGAGGACCTCGAGGCTCAACAGCGCAGCCGCCGGGCCCTTTGTCATATTATGGCATCGGGATTTCTGTTGAACCTCTCTTGTCTCTCTTCATTAAGGCGGAAAAGAAAATCACTTTTCTGGATGAAAGGTCTACGAGGACGGGCGCGGCCGCCGCGCGGGGAAGGGGGAGGGATAATTCATTCGCATTGCATACCCTCCCCGTCTTCCTTCCGGCGCAGTTAGCTCACAGCAGCAGCAACGTCTGTGGCTGCTGCAGTGTGGGTGTCTGCAACGATATAGCTTGCGCCCCCCCAACGGCGCACTGCTCAAACGTCTCTGAAACTTTGATGACGCAGGGCAATGAAAGTTGGAGCGTGCGTGCACACACGCACATACACACACACTCACGTGCGCACACGCACACACGCACACACACACACACATACACACACGTATGCGAGCGCGCGCACACATACACGCACGCCTCTAACGGCGGAATAGGCTGGGGGTAAAGGTAAAGGAGTATTCGATGAAAAACCCACCATCTCTTTTCACGCAAAAAGTTTTAAAAAAAGAATCGTTCATAAAAGATCATACGTCTCTTTTAGTCTGAAGCACGGGGAACACGTCACGTATCCAAAGATAACGATGTTTTTTCATGTCTTTTTCTGTGCTTTTTAAGTAAAGAGTTGGAGTCGACACACCAAATATAAATGATAGCGGACCGTTTTGGTTTGTTTGTTGTCTTGACTTGTTTGTTTAGCTGTCCAGCGGTCGGTCGTCGGGCCGCGGGCTGCAACAAACAGCTAGACAGCAGCCGTGAGCACAACCATGAGCAGCAGAGAGGCTGCGTCCCCCTCATGACACTTTGACGGCCGATCAAACAGCGATACGTCCCGGGGCCGGGCGCGCGTCAGTGGGCCGACAGAGACATGCACTGGACGGGACGCTCCCGCTCCCGGCCGCCCCCCGCCGGAAAGGATTGAAACTCCATGTACAGCCCCGATTCCATCGTCAGTTGCAGATTTGCACGGCGGCGCGGATCGGCGCGTGTATGGGGAACGCAAACCTCGCGGCGCGTTTTTGTTTGTATTTGTTTCAGTATCTCTCGTGGGGATCGTTTTTGCCCGACTGAGAGACCGTTCGCCAGAGCGATATGTATAGATGATCGTCTCACCAGCGCTCCGCGCGCCGCGCGCCACCGGAGTAAGCACTACGACAACCATATATGAGAGACGCAAAAGTTGTAAACTTTTAACTAGCGTGACTCGCTGTGCCACACGCCAACCGGAAACGGTAAAAAGTTTTTCTTGGATTCCAAAGTTCTTTCATGAATTTCAATGGGGTAGTTGATTTCAATATCGGCCCTTGAAGTCGCAGAATCTCCCTGAAAACCCTCACCTTCCAAGAGGAGGCTTTTGGAAATTTCGTCTGATAAACCAAAGGCAACCCGTTGCATATCAGACCAAAAATTCCCAGGCTTCCCCTTGGATGGAGCAGGGGGTTTGCAAGGCAGATTCTGAAACTTCAAAGGTTGATCTTCAAATTATCTTCCCGAGCTTGAAATTAATGAAAAAAACCTTGAAATCCAAGAAAAACTTTTTACCGTGGACAACAATAATACCCAGCCCGCACAGCCACTCTGCGAATGCAGCTGCCACACTGGCGGGTGGGCAAGCAAACTTCCCTCCCTCGGACTGGCGGCAGCTGCAACAACACCGGCAGCTGTCCCTGTGCAGGCAGCTGAATGCAGCTGGGCGTGGGGTGGATGGGCCGGGCGGTGGGGCGGGCGTGCGGGCGCGACCGGGCGGCGCGCGGCGGGCGGCAGGCGCCGGCGCCAGTCCAGAGCGGAGCGCCGAGCCGCACGGACCCCACCACGGCCCCACGGCGCCAAGCGCACGCGCCAGGCACGCTCGCCACGCGGTCGTGTGACTCGGCGAGCAGCGAGTCGCGCACTTCTTGTCCCGGTCACCCCCCGATTTAGCGGCTCCTCTCGCGGTTTCCGCCTCCCCATCAGGGCGGGCTCGTCCACCCTCGTCCTCGGCCGCGCCGCCCGCGCCGCCCGCGCCGCCCGCGTCCTCTCCCCGGGTCCTGCCCGCGGTCGACATGCTTCGCTGCGGTCGGCGCCGAGGCCGCGCCCAGAGGCCGTCGTCGACGGGAACGTGCGGTCGCGGCTGAGAGAAGAGTCCAGGATACAGGGAAGAGGAACAGGCGGTCCCCGCCGTCCATCGGGTAAGGAGCTCCGCACCTGTTGCTCGCCTGTGGCCTGGTCGCGCGCCAGGGCCAGCCGGGGCGCTCACCACGCAGAACTAGCCACTTCCGCATCTACCAA